GCGTTACTCAGAGCCAACAGTGAGTCCAGACCCCTTTCCTTGTGTTCAAAATCATCCTCTACCTTCGTTTCCTGTTCCGTCCCGGGCAAGGCGGCTCTGTTTTCCTATGCCTCATTCTCTCCTCTCATGGTCACCCTTTGTATTTCATTAGGGTACCTTAAGAAAGGGTTCACTCTTCCCAGTGCCAACGGTCTTGGTGTGCTGAATCCCAAAGTCACGATGGAGCAGGTATGTGGCCAGTGAGAGAGAGAGATGGGTTTGGTGGTGTGTGAAAACTGAGAAGCAAGAAGGGCTGGAATGAGGTCCTAGGTTGGCCATATCTGGCCAGGTTGGCTACCTTTGTCATACAGAATAATAAAACCATACAATCATGAAGTTGGAAGAGGCTTACTATAAGGCCATTGAGTCCAACCCCTTGCTCAGTGCAGGAATCCAAATCAAAGGAGATCTGCCCGGGGGTGGTCTAAATTTCTCTTCAAATGTTGGAAGCGCTCACCGCCTCCCGAGGTCAAGGGTTCCATTGTCGTACTGCTCTAACAGTTAAGAAGTTATTCCTGATATTCAGCCGAAATCTGGCTTCCTATAAGAGTCCATTCTTATGCGTCCTGCACTCTGGGATGATCGAGAACAGATCCTGCCCTTCCTCTGTACGACTACCTTTCAAGTACCATATTTTTCACTCCATAAGACGCACCTTTCCATAAGACGCACCAATTTTTAGAAGAAAACAGGAAAATATAATCTGTTTTCGCTCCATAAGACGCACAGACTTTCCACCCCCCTGTTTTATGGGGGGAAAGTGCATCTTATGGTGCGAAAAATACGGTATTTGAAAAGCGTGATCCTATATCCCCTCCGTCTTCTTTTCTCAAGGCTAAACCTGCCCAGTTCTTTCTGTCTTTCCCCACAAGGCTTGGCTTCCAGCCCCCTAAGACCTCATCTAAAGAGGAGTAGCACTGAAATTTGGGCTGTGCAGTGTCATCTGCTATCAGCTTCAGGCAGCAACATGTCTTGAGCCGGCTCTGTCCCCTGGCTGCTTTAAGATCAACAAGAACAGGATGCCCACGTCAGAGCGAGAGACACGCTCAGAGCACCCGGCGCCGGTGCCAAGCAGCTGGCAGAGAAGCCTCCATGTTTGTTTATTCAAAACAACCACCCCAAAACAGGACAACATATCCATGTTGCAGCCTCCGAAGAGACACTTCCGAAACGACCGCCCCGTCACCGAGTCTCATCTGACGACTATAGATCAAGGCTGGCAGCCTGGAAACTGTCATTTTAGCGCTGATTTACACGGCAGCCCCACCAATGCAACAAAAATCCTGGACCGAGACCATTTTTTTAAATTTAAAATTTTTAATTTTTTTATAACACATAAAAACATATTTCCATTGTCTTTCGTCATGTTCACTGGATATACATCAAATTGTTCATATCCTATCATGTCTCGTTTGTCTCTATACCTTATTTCTTGGCTCTAGCCACTCATACATTTTATTCCAGTTTTGATAATATTCCGAATCCTCCTTCCCTATAATTGTTCTTGCCAATCTATCCATCTCTGCACAATCTAAGATTTTTTGTACAATTATTTCTTCCACCGGAGATTTCTCGTTTTTCCAATATTGAGCCCATACTATTCTTGCTGACGTCAATATAGGTAATATAATATAGCTATCTTGTTTGTTAATGTTCTCTGGAATAATACCCAATAAAAACAACTCTGGCTTGAGTTCTATATTCAGTTTCCTTATTTTTTTTTATTCCAAGAGTGTATTTTAACCTCCCTTTTTTTGCTTTTTCATGAGTCCACCATACATCATAATAGGTCCCCTCATGTTTTTTTACATTTCCAACACCTTTCGGACACATTTGGGAACATTTTCGCTATTCTAGTCGGTGGTAAATGCCATCTGTAAAACATTTTGTATAAATTTTCTTTATAGGCGGCTGCTGAGGCAATTAATTTAGTTATCACTCCTTAACTTTTGCCACTTTTCTAGCTGAATTGTTTGACCAAGGTTTTTAGCCCAATTGTTTCTTTCACTTGTTCATCTTCCATTTTCACTTCTAAGAGGAATTTTTCAGGCTGTATGGCCGTGTTCTTAAGGTTTTTCTTCTTCCTAACGTTTCGCCAGTCTCTGTGGCCAGCATCGTCAGAGGACTGGGGTCGGAACTCTGTCCATGCTCTGGTGCAGTGGACATTCCACTCAGTGGAACAGGGGATCCTGTGGATAGGGGAGTTCTACAGTTTCCCTCATTTATGTCTTTTTACCATACTGGATGCTTTAAAAAACAAAGTAGTATCAAAGTGAAGCAGGAAAGCAAACTTGGGAAGAGGCTCCGTTGCAAAGCGGTCAAGGAGAGGGCGAGAAGGCCAGTTCCAATCCTCCAATCCTCTCTTCTTTCTGTCTTTCCAGGGGTACCTACTCATTGCAACAGATCTGAGCATGGAGCCAGAAAGGCTGAGAGAAAGCATCTTTGCCCCTGGCTCATCGCAGTAACAGATCCAGCATGGCTCCCCTCTGGAATAGATGCCCTCGGATTTTTGGGGTCCTCCTGGGCAGTGATTGTATGAGCTGCCGCGGGGTTGGAGTTGCGGCTGCGAGTTCTTCCTTGGGCCTTTTCAGGAAGCATGGAGTCATTTGCTGAAGAGGGCAGAAGCATTCACAGCAAGCCTCCCCGGGGATGGCATATCTGTTGCTACGAACCAGCACTTCCCTTACCCTTCACACCACCAAAGGGAGATGCTAGAGAAATGCAACGTCTCTCCGCTTGGTTTGAGAATGAAAAGGCGGAATGGAATCGGTTTCTGAAAGGCGGCTGTGCTGGTTTCACAGCCGCGTATTGGCGGGTGCCAGTGACGTCAACACGGCCCATGCTGCATTGAGTGAATGGCACAAAACTTCCTCCCCCTTCCCACATTACTGTTGCCATCGTCCTCCAGTGTGGAGATGGATTATAGGTCCAGCCTGATTTTAGAAGAGGGTGAAGGGGTTGCATCTCGTTGCCCTCAAACTTTCAAATTCGGGTTCTCTTCTAAATATTCAGCCTTGCTTGGGCTTTCTCTGGCCCAGGATGGTGGTCTGTACGGGTCTTTTTTGTGTAGCCCACTGGTTGATTAAAAAAAATCTGGACATTCTATTACTTGAATATGGCATTAGAAAATGTTGTGTGTGGACTGGACTTCTTCAGGGTGCCAGCCAACCAGCCGTGACCTCTTCCTGTAAACTCCGTTCCACTCTCCACATCATTTCCTGCCTTCCTCTCCAACGGCCAGTCCACATTCTAGGATAAGTTCATCAATATATATATTCAATATATATATCAATATCGATCTATCAATCTATCGATCGATCGATCGATCGATAGATAGATAGATAGATAGATAGAAAAATGCCCTCTATCCCGGCGCTGCCCAACC